CAGAGAAAGATAAATACAATATGATTTCACTTATATGTGGAATCTAAGGAACAAAAAGAACAAACTAATCAAAAACAGACTCACCAATATAGTGGAAAATGTGGTGACAGACAGAGGGGAGGGGTTTGGGGGGCTGGGAGAATGGGGTGAAGGGTTAAAGAAGTACAAATTAGTAGTTGATAGTTGGTCATGGGTATGAGGAGCACGGCATAGGGAGTGCAGTTAGCAATAGTATGATGGCTAGGTGGAGGGCCAGGGGAGGGAGGGAGCAATTAGAAGGATCATTTTATGAACTGTATAGATGTCTAACCAATGTACTGTATACTTGAAACTAATTTAAATAAATACATTTTTTAAAAAATCAATGTCCATCCAAACCCCTTCCTAACTGCCTTTACACATTTGCAGATACTGTAAAACAAATCATGACATTGGAAGTACAATTGTCCTGCACTTAAGAAGAAAAATGAAAGAAAAAGAATGGCAAAATCTCACTAAAAGACAACCTAAAAGTTTATGTCCTAAGAATTCAGCTTGACAACTATCAGATTGGCAGCTCCAAAATATGGCCAGACAGAAATATGGGCTAAACTCCATTTATAACTAAGGTCCTACCAAATTTCTGCCAACCCTCAAGAAAATTATAATTGAAAGTAACAAAGGCTATTATGAGGAATGTGCCAATTAGAAAGAAAAAAATGGGCTAAATAAAACGGACCTTGACAGGGTTAAAACAAAAGTTTTAGTACAGCACTACCAAAGGCTGAATGGGTCAAACTGACCTCCTGTTGGTCCCCAATATTAAAAGGCCCTGATCAAGTCTGTTTTATTTATCCTGGAAGGAAGTCATTATAGTGAGAAACCTGACCAGTAATCACTTGGGGCAACAATTAAATCAAGTTAAAGACTGATAACAGGGCCAGGGTCCCTTGGCTTGACTTCTCGTTGGAGACCCAAAGCCTTTTTACTCAAGAGTGAGTAAAATGGTCAGGAGACAGAAAAGAGAAATTTCCAAGACTACCTGATATGGGAATTCATGAACTGTGATACCAAAACCAATTGGTGAAGCCATGACTCGGGCTACAATTTGATTAAAAGAATATGGAAATGTAAGAATTTATAAGATTATGAAAATTGGAATGTTTAAACAGGCTTTATGTTTAAGAAAAAGTCATGGTAATCAAACTTTGATTGCATCTTTTTTACCTGATTATATTGTGGAAATAGACATTGTGCCTCACTGGAGAACTGGGACATGAAGGCTGGCAGTTCTTTCTTCTGGCTATCTGAAGGAAAGACTCTAGAAGGTAATAACCTTTGTGCCCTCCTGAGCCCATTAAATTACTTAATACTGCCAGAAATACAATTCTTCCCAGGTGAAATCTGACAGGATATTAGAAAGGATTTAATAACTTTTTGATCAGATATTTGGCAAAATTAGAAGCTGAAGATTTAGAGCCTGACAGGATTTTTCAAAATTTTCAGCCCCTTTCCTAAGCTAAAACAAAACTATATACCAGAGGGAAAGAAGCAAATTAGGGATTATGTAGTTAGACAGGTAGGTCTATGATGTCAGTAAGTCACTTGCCAACTGTGGTGGAAGAAAAAACTTTACCCTCAAGGTTCTTTTCACTGGTCTAATAATCAAATAGACATGAGATGGATTAGCAAGGGAAAATAATCAAATTTAATTCATACATACATATAGGAACTCCATTTAAATGGGAGAGTCAGAGACCCCACATGTGTGAGAGATTCAGATACAGAAAGGGGGACCCAGGTAAGTAAGGAATCCCGTGCTGGGGATGAGTAATGCACCTCAGGAGCTTCAAGGAGTCATTGCAGGATGATAAGGAGAGCAGATGTTTAGTAAATACAAGTGTGCCCTGACATATATGTGGGTCAAAAAGAGGTTATCGCTGACAATCTCTTATTATGGCCAAGGCCTCTAATTCAAGTTCTTCTAGGTAGTTAAAGGGAGAGGAAGAAGCTTCTCTGAGGCTTGAAGCTAAAATTGCCTTTAGCTCAAAATAATCCACGGACCACTGAGGCACATCTTGAGGTGACTCATTCTGAACCCGAAAAGGCAATTGCACTCATAGATAAGATATATACACACCCCAGCCTCCCTGTTATGTCACATGTCACTTTTTACTCTCCTTCAAAGCCCTTATTTCCATCTTACAAACCAAAGTTCTGCTTGCAAATATCTTCTGAGTACTAGACTGGCCTTGGCTGTCACTCTGCCTGAAAGGGATCACAGCATTTCAGCAACAAAAGTGATGAAAAATACTCTGGAACCCTCTTCAGATTTCAACCAAGGGCAAGGGAAATCTCTTCTGTAGTGTGAATTTTAATAAGGCTTGTGAAGAAATAAACTTGTTTCTTGGTCATACAAAGGAGTCCATCTTTGTCAATGAACCGTTTGTCTTAATTTCATAATGAGGTGAATTGTGCTCAAAGGCAAAGCTTGGTCTTAGTCAGGGATTCTGGTAATCTGAGCTCCCCGAGTGGCAGCCTACATAAAGTCAGACAAGTCATTTAGCTCCCCTAAGTCTGTTTCCTTTTTTACCAAATGTCTTCCTACTACTGCTTCCATGTTTAGGAGTCTGAGAAGATGAAATGAGCCAACTACCCAGGGTGCTGAGTGCCTTGCACTTAGTAAGCCTTCCTAAAGTGCCTCGATCATCAGTATCGGCATTCTTGTTTCTATTCTCATTGTCATTATCATCATCTTATAAAGACTTAAAAGCACCACTTCTCTCAATGGAATCTACAACATTCTACACTGTAGATGAATCCATTGTTCCCTGAAGAGTAAGGCTGAATCTGGCCTGTAAAATGACTGAGAGCTAATGCTTTAAATAAAGTTCTGTGGTGACTATTTTGATTTCTTCTACAGGTGTTTATTTTCTCATACTTTCAAATCTTTATAATAAATGCTCTGGTCATTCATTTATGGTAATTCATGCCTTCCCCACAAGACCGAAGAATTCAGTTGATTCTCTCTCTCACTGCTACCGCAAACACCATGTCAATATTTCAGTCAGACCATAAGGAAGAAATATTTTTAAAGTACAAACATGTATCTGTTGTTCTGCCATTTAAAGGTACTTCATGCTTTTGATCACAAAAAGGATCAATTGCTCCCTTAATTTTACTCAGAGCCAAGTGCGGCTTCTTGAACCCTGGGTCACTCATTCCATTAGGGCCCTATTCCAAGGCCATGGGAAAAATCTCTCTCTCCGCGTCTACAAAGGACTCGCTGCGCTCCTTCAGCGGAGCTCTCTGGCTGAGATCACCGTCTTGTAGAATGAGTCTTGAGTTCTCAGAGCTTCCCATGGTGCAGGTGGGTCCACCAACACAGTATATTCTGCTCCTTGTGATTGCCACGATGGGGATACCAGGAACCACCTCCTCTTCCCAAACACACCTCACGATATCATGTCCGCTATGCCGACCACAGTGACTAAAGGACCTTGGAAAATACGACGCTGTGACCTCGGCACAGGGGCACACTGTCCCTACTGTTACCTGTGAGAAGCAGAACAATTCATGGCTGACAGTGCAAAAAGCACAGGAGCATTTCTGCCCAGATGGGGCCAGGGCTGGAACTGTACAATTCCGACACGTGCAAACTCTGGGCTGGGGAAGGACAGGGATGAGACGCAATTTCCTCAGCGCCAGGTTTCTGAAGTTCAATAGTGTGAGAAAAGGGACCAGACTTCAGCATCTTCCTCAGTGAATGCACATTCTTAGTATGAGGGGTCCTTTATCTGAGGTGGAGATGGGGAATTGGGAGATAAAAGAAAAACGAAAAACCACAGGAATTCCCGACTTGAGGAAATTGGAGTGACTTCCAGGAAATCTGCTTCCAGACTTGTTTTCCAGATAGTTCTTAAAGGGAAGATGAAAAACAGATCATGAAACGGAAATATCTTCTCCATCTCTCAGTTCTCCAAGCTGAATATCCACAGAGCTTTTCTTCCTCCGTTGTACGGTGACTGTGATGCTACAGCCAGTGTGTTCACCTGAAGGCTAAGCGCCGGCTGAAACCTGGGCCCTCCTTTTCTCCATTGAGATCGCTTCTGGTTCTTCGGCTCTGCCGCTCAGTCCCCGTGTCAGATGGCCTCCAGGGGTGCTTCTCTGTCCCTGTCCCCGGGCATAGTGTAATTATCGCTGTAGTTTGGGTGGACTTGGGTGGTGCTGTTTGTCTCAGATGATATTAAGGGTGAGTATTTCCTGAGGCGGGAGGAGGAAATGGTCAGAGCCGCTCCTTAGCTGCGCATACTATATGGAGAGGGCGCCCGTCGCGGAGGGAGTCCGACCTTGTCACAATGAACATTATGTTCAGTATCGCAGACTCGCCAATCAGTGGGAGTGTTATTTAGATGAATAATAATAATAATATTTTCTAATAAGTCTCATTACCGCTGGATTTTCATGACCACGGAGTGTTGTTTTTAACCACCGGTGAGAAAATATATAACCACCTGCTTATATTTTCATGGCATACGATTGTTTTTAAGTCAGAAACTTTTTCTAAGGTTAAGCTTTCTAAACACCACGAAGTCATTTTTCTTCGGAAATGATGGCTTGTCTTTGGCCCCAAGGCTCTTTTTCGGAATCTGACTCAGGATGCCCACCTAACGCACCCCTGGAATCTGTGCCTGTGCTCCCGTTGGGTCAAACCGCGTCAGACTCCTGTTGTCAACGAAGATCAAAATGAAGTTATCGCATATGGTGAGGGGACTTTGCGGTGTCTGCGTTTGTCAGGAAGGATCACGGTTCCACGGTGGACTCGCAGCACTACGTTTCAATGCAAATGTCCTTGGAGAGGACGAGTTCTGTCTGGTTTGGGCTCGGACACTTAACTCAGGTGTAACTCCGCAGGAGCGGGCGAGGTCCTGAGCACTGTGGGATCAGGAGCTGCGGGCCGGTGGATGGGGCGTGGTCTGCGGCGGCCGCGGCGCGGACGTCCGCTCGCTCCCGCAGCGCTGGCATTGCGGATCCCGGGTCCTTAAAGCTCGTGTGGTTGCTCTGCCCCCGTCCTTCGCGCTTTTTCCTTTACGGCCTGAAGGAGTCGTAGGCAGAAGTCAGGGAGACCCAAGAAACGGAAGAATGGTGAGTGTGCGGGACGGGTGCGGAGACGGGGACGAGGAGGTGGCAGAACCAGCTGTGGCGAGACCAGGCCTTCCTGCGGTCCAGTCCGGAGTCTCCGGACCCGAGTCCTTCCCCGAGCGCTGCTGAGACCCCAGTCCCCTCCGGCACGCGGCGTGGGGCCTGGGCCGGCAGCCGGGCCCCGGGAAATCTTG